AAGAAAACCTCGTATCTCCAAAATGGTAACTTTACAGGAGAAGGAAAAAACCTACTTTACTTTTAATGGAAGTCAATGGAACCAGACTTTTTTCCAGGTCATTTTGGCTCGTTTGTTTTGGTCCATCGATTGTGAAATGTAAAGGAGAGTGTTGTTCCCAAATCATGTCAAAAACTGAAAAAGGACAAAAGTGGAGATGTGAGGTTTTCTTCTGACAGCAGTGATTTACTGGTTCATATAGTACTTAGAAAACTGTTGTGTTTTTGATATAAATGCCAGTGTAACATTTGCAAAGTTTAGCCCCGCCTAGTTTAATTAACATATACTTGCATGTTGGTTAACTTGAAAACGTAAAAAAAGCAGGAAAAAAATCACCAGCAGATGGCGCCTTTGTCTCACTCTATTGTTTTATTCTGACACTTAAAGCGCGTCCACCTCGAAAACTGAATCACAAACCATCACTTTGCTGTTGATTTATCCATTTTACATTTTACATTTTCATTTTCCTTTTGTCAGATACGCAGCCGATTGGTATGAAGAAGAACATCACATCTTGATTCTAGTTTTGACAGGAATTACGCGTTTCATGAAGAAAAGGCAAAGCCAGAGTGAAGCTTTTCCATTTTAGATACGGCCATGAATGAAATGACAAATAACTCTCTTAAATGTATTTTTATTTTTCTCACAAATGTCTCGTGCTTATGTGGAAAATTTAATTGCAGATGTAGGTACTTCATTTCATTTTCATTTTGGCAGGATATTTGCTCAGGTGTTTTGAAAAAGAAATGGCAAAAAGAGTTTTGATTTACATTTTATTGTTTTAATAGAACAGTATTTACTTTTTTGGCTGGATTTGCCTCCCATATTTACACAGCACAGATATGTTTTTAAAAGCTCAGACCCATCCCAGCTATGAAAACCAGCACAGACCAGCATGTGTTTTATTTCTGGTGCTGGTTTAGCTGGTCACCCAGTATGGTCATGCTGGTTTTGCTGTTGACCTGCCACGTGGTCTTTGCTGGTTTTTCTAGCCTTCGTCTACCTTTCATATATTACTGTTCACCTTTTATATGTGATGTCTCCCATTCAACTCTTCCATGTGTTGTGATCCAGACAGCTTTCTCCAGCGTGATGACTGATGGTCTTGGATGTCCATTACTGTCCATAATGGAGGAGCCAGTTCACTTTTTCAAATGTAAAGAGGATTCCAGCTGCAGACCCAGGTCTCAGCACAGAAATGGAGCAGAAAGCAGCTCGAGGCTGTTTCACCATCACATTTGGAGCACCAGCAGCGACCGTCAGCCAGGACAGATGGAGACGCTCAGTTCCTACAGGCTTATTCAGCCTGAGGCTTGTTGGAGTAGCTGTGGACGAGGTTCATGCAGCTGTTCAGTGGTGAGTACATGTACTTATGTGTTTTTAATGTTATTGTAGTTGGCTGTTGTTAACTGCTGTCCTTCTTGCACATCTGAAATATAAATCTGAGAGTGTGTCTTCTCTCAAACGCTTCTACGTCACTTTTGCTCCGGCTGTATTGGACGTGAGATATTCAACAGATATTATCCAACTTTGAGTAGCTCCAGAATTATTAGTAAATCAGTATGCATACTGGACAACCTTTAACTGTGAAACTATATGTGTGTGTGTGTGTGTGTGTGTGTGTGTGTGTGTGTGTGTGTATACACATCTCTAATCTAAATCAACCACATTTATATACATCAAAATCAACCATGTATTCTGTAGCTAGGTGGCAGCGATGATGCACAATCTTTGGATTTTGGATGTAATGCAGAAACTACTTTCGGTAGCACTTCAAGTGGTTTACAAACAAAACTAAAATCAACTGTAAGGCTGTGTCTAGGTGGCAGTAATGATGCACACCTTTTGGTTTCTGAGTGTACTGCAGTTAGGACTGGGTATCAAGAATTGGTTCCAAAATTCCAAGAACTGAGTCTCCAGTAAAAAAAAAATTGTGTGTGTGTGTATATATATATATATAATGTATAGATATATAGATATATAGATTCTGCGTATTTTTTCCTACAAGTGCATTTTCATTCGTATGTGCTTCACATACACGGCCGTGATTACTGAAAAGAAGCCTAGTAGGCAATTATCTGCCAGGACCTGTAACATGGCATCCATGTTTTTAATAGGCTGTGCTACAGAGCTGAACAGTTCTGGAAGTAAAAGTCCCATTCATAATCACCGTAGCAATTAAATAATTACCCATAATATTTCAGAAAACCAACCTACACTTACCATGAGCTGTGAGGTGTGAGATGATCTCATATACTCCAGTTAAAGCCACAAATCACTTTTTAACTTTGTTTTTGAAAAATCATGTTTTATTGCCTTGTTTCCCATAAAGAAGTATGTTACCCAGACATCCTAAAGCGAGCTCCACCCATCAGAAACATCACGGTTACCATAGAGATTCAGGCAGTGTGGTTTGGTGCCAGAAAAGCACTGTCAGATATGAAGAGTTGATTTAGGGATCCAGAGGAGAAGAGAGTTCAGACTGAAAATCAGAATCCGTGTAGTGGAGTTGAGTGTGTGTGTGTGTGAGGGGGTCAGTGTGTGTGTGTGTGAGGGGGTCAGTGTGTGTGTGTGTGTGAGGGGGTCAGTGTGTGTGTGTGTGTGTGTGTGAGGGGGTCAGTGTGTGTGTGTGTGAGGGGGTCAGTGTGTGTGTGGTGTGTGAGGGGGTCAGTGTGTGTGTGTGTGTGAGGGGGTCAGTTTTGGCAGAGTTAGCATCAAAGACAGCACCTACAGGACTCTGAAGGGTTTTACAGGTGAATATGATCATCAGCTCCACACAGATCCTGCCATGATGTCACACTTCAAAATAAATAAACAATGAGTAAATTTCACCTCCGCATTTAACCCATCTGTGCAGTGCAACACCACATACACACTAGGGGGCAGTGAGCACACTTGCCCGGAGCGGTGGCCAGCCCTATCCACAGCACCCAGGGACCAGTTGGGGGTTAGGTGCCTTGCTCAAGGGCACCTCAGTCACCTATTGTCGGCTCAGGGCATCAAACCAGCGACCTTCCGGTCACAAGGCTGGTTCCCTAACCTCCAGCCCACGACTGCTCATAAACACCAATTAGAGACAAGAACGGCCTGAACTATGTAATAATAAAGTTACCAGCCAATGTGAAAGGTGTATGATTTATTTCCCAGATTTGTCTCTGCTTTGTTTCAGGAATGGTAGAAAAGTTGGAAATAAGATAAATTATTAAAAATGATGGTGAATTTTGGGCATTGTCCATAGACTGTGCGGTGTGCTAAGAAGCAGGAATTCGCTTTGTAGAGAGTTCAGAGGACAGGCGGGTGAGAAAAGTACCATGGCCGAGCATTCAACAAGCAAGAGCAGAAGGAAAGAAGGCCTACACTTGCGGTCAATTTGCTTTTATAGAAGGGAAGCAAGTTTTCAGTAGGTAACTTCAGACAGCAAAGAGTGAGAGAAGTGCTGTTGAGGGGCCTGCGCATCATTTTCACATGAATCTAAGCCTAACTCGTAGGGGACCAGGACAATTGTTCTGTTTAATTATTTTCTACATGAACATCTGTGTTGCGCTGTATAGTTACCCATTTCAGTTATATTCTCATTAATATCACAGCTATTATTTTGGTCACTATTTTTATAGATGTCCAGGGAATATCGTTACCTACCAGAGTGATGTTAATGGCCATTGGCTGGTAGCAGTGATAAAAGTAGAAGGTGTATAGTTTTGGTGGATGGGAAGGTATAGTTTGGCCAAAGGGAAGGAAGAAGGTGAAAGAATCACAGTGTATTTCTACCAATTAAAAAAGAAAAGACGAGAGAAATAAAATTAATAGCGTAATAATTAATAATATGAGAATTACAGACTCAAAATTCATATCTGAGGAAATATATTCATTCTTTTGAAATCTTTATTCTGATAAACATTTTTTACAATTTGATGAAAAAGAATACGTTCCTCAAATTAGTACAGCCTTTAAAGAAGTGTGTGAGTCTGACTTTAGGATGGAGGAACTGTCAGACAAATAAAAAAATTGCACGCGTGCGGTGGTATTTCTGATATGTCTATGCTGTCTTGATGGATATTTTATATATGCTATGATCAGTAAAGAGAAAACATGCAACACAAAATGTATTATGAATTGCACTGCAATTAAGTTGATTTAATATTTATTGTATGGATGTCAAATTTCACATCTTTTCATATGATTTTCAACTGCTTTTAGTATTTTCTTTCTTTTAAATCTAAACTATATGTACTGAGAATGAAGATCTTTTTTTTAATGTTTATTTTAATATATTTAAGAAAACACACACATACCCTGACGCTAATTTTTATCTAGCGCCGTGTCAGCAAAACTGTCAAAGAGGCCTAGTCAGGACATCAGGCCTGGTCATTATTTTTTCTCTCTCTAAGTTGTTTGTTAATATTTGTAAGTTTATGCTCCAAAATAAAAGTCCCTGTGCACTTAAAATCTGAGATTAAAAACTAGTCATAGCTTGTTTACACACACACACACACACACACACACACACACACTAAACCGTCTTATCCTTAGAGCTATATATATATTGTAAGACATTAAACAATATGCACATTTTTTTCTCACACAACCAAAATTTCCAAACTGACAAAATAACAAGACGACAATAGACAAACTGTGTCCATCCTTTATTAATTTAAAAGCGATTGGTTATAGCATGTCACAGACATGATGTGAGAGACTCTTACATGTGCAGTGACAGTTGTTTGATGTCAAATGTTTTCAGACAGAGGAGGGTCTGCTGATTTCATTTCACTGTGGGTTTGTGTTGACTCTGTGTGCTGTTTAGGCAGTAGACAGTTAAAACTATTCATTATTAATATAATACAGCAGGCCATAAGGCACGTAATGCCTACAGTATTAGGGACTCCTACATGTGCAGTAACGTAAAACCATGGTCAATAATATTAACTAACTTGGAGGCATTGAGCGCGTGAGACTTTTATTCTGAAAAATTGGTTCTGGTTTTTTCGTCGAGCTAGGCTCACTAGGTTAGGTTAGCGTTGTTGTGGTCGCGACTGGGTTTCTCCAGCCCTGTTTCCGTTACCTTTATTCTCTCTCTATAACGCCGATCTCCGTTACTAGTTATTTACCGGCTCGTCCGAGTGGAGGGACTGCTTTCCCCCGAAAAGTGAAGGGGCACTGCGCGGGGGAATCACCGGTTGAAGCCGTGCGGACGGTTCCTGGTTAAAGCCCAGGCTGCAGGGACACACGGGGACGCTCTGACGGCTCCGTGAGGTGAAGATACCGCTTTACAGACGTTTCCCCGCGGAGAATCGACAGCAACAGTGCCGTAAGTGCCCCGGAGCTGTTTGTCTGTGTCTGTGAAAGAGCTGTGAGAGCCGCCCTGCCGAGGCTGTTTACCTCAGAGTCTGCTGGCCTCCTGCCGCCTCGTCTTAGCTACAGGCTGCGGGCTCTTTCAGCGGCTTCGGCGCAGAACAGCGGCGATAATGTCGAGCTACATTAATCGAACCGTCGTGCAGTTCACGGTGCTGATTATTCTTTATTACTGTTTAATATTGAAGGACTGATATGGTCTGTTACGCCGCTAATCGGCCTGGCTAACTAGCTAACTTATTTTACCAGCTAACCTAGGTTGTTCAGAATGACCTGAACTGTCAGACTGTACACAAACTCGGACGCTGTCAGACGGTACACAAACTCGGACGCTGTCAGACGGTACACAAACTCGGACGCTGTCAGACTGATTATAAACACACGGACGCTGTCATACAAACACAGTCAGAGGCACTGAGACAGACAGAGTCAGGCTGTGGTTATCTGAGAGCATCATCTGTAAGGTGAGGTGGAGGAGCAGGTGAACCATTACTTATAAAGCTGAGCCATATAACAGTATTTCATTATAAATGTTATAGTGATACCAGCCCGAGTATCTAAAGCATGTTTGTATCTGTTTTTAGTCTGCATGTTTGAGTCCATATTTAAGGGACACAGAAGCTCTGATCTGATTATTACAGCTTTTCCAGTTCTGGTGAGCAGCACTGCCGTTTTGATGGCTTGTTGTCGTGTTAAATGGGTAACGATACGCCGCCAACCCACAGTCTGAACACATGGCTTTGGCTAGTGTGTAAGTCGTCTGTGAGTGGTCCGTTATCCAGTGCTGCTCTCTGTTGTTTGTGGAGTCCAATAAATGCATCAAGTATCACTTTGAAATATCAGTCAAATTTAGGGCTGCACGATATTGAGAAAATGCGATGTTCGATAAAGCTGACGAATATCACAATGATATGAGAAGCAATAAATTACTGGTACAATAATGTGTTTCACTCTCACTCACTCTCTCTCACTCTCCCTCTATCTCTCTCTCACATGTGCGCCCTCTCTCCATCACTCTTTCTCTCGGGGCGCGGGTTACATCCTCCTTAAACAAGCACAACTCCAATTTTACCACAACGCGATAAAATCACAGCGCGTGTGGAGCGAGTAGGTCTCTGTGAATGCAGCACACATATCGGCTTAGTGAAGCGTTTTAAAGTGTCAGAGACCGAGAACGGCCTTTTGCAGACATTGTTCTGCTGAATTGTCAAGAGGGGGTGCAGCTTAACTTATTTCTGTTAATTAATATGGTCATATTTTATAATTTGTTTAACTAATTTACTTAATTCATATTGACAATTCATTTTTACTTTTTCTGCGGGGGGCAAATTATTAGTAGTGTTTATTTGCTAATTTAGTTGTCATATTGTGCTTTGTTGGTGTGTCTGCTGGAATGTTAATGTTCACTGTTCAATAAATATTTTTAAATTGCAGTTTAGTAATTGTTGTTTCTTTGAAAACCAAGACAAAATACATTTAGTCTATTTAATTTATGCAGTGATGAAAAAAGTGGTAAAATTAATGAAACACAGTGAAAAACCGAGTTCAGTTTTCGGTATTTGGCCTTAGGACAAATGTTTCATTTTATTCTGTTTCGGTTTTGGCCAAAAATGTTCATTTTGGTGCATCCCTAAGCAGAACATACTTAACTTACATGATAGGGAATGTAATCAGATACTTCTGTTTATTGGATTATTTACCCACCTTGTTCAATCAGATAGAATCTGTGTTCTGAATGTAATCAGACTAGACTCTTCCGATTGAGCTGTTAGTCAGATTATTAACAGATTATTAAGATGCATGTAAACGTGGCTAGGTTTGTTAGCCTGTGTCTCCACCTGTACTGGGGAAGTGGTTGTAATTGTGTGTTTAAAATGGGCTAAAATCATGCTGTGAATTCCTGGTGGGAATTTGCAAAGGCAGAATGTATAAAATGACCACTGACTCTGTGTCCGACCTGCACGGAGTCAGTAACTCTCCACTGTGTTCAATAGTGCGGCAGTGAACGCTCAGCTTACATCAGGTGGTATTGGAGTGTTGGTATCAGTGCATTTTTATGAGTACAAGTAAATGAGCACGGTGTCCGCCCGATACCAATATCTATATCGAGGCATCCTAAAGTATTATTATCATTACTATTATCATTATCATTAGCATTGTTATTCAATTAACATTGTTCATTTTGATGGTGAAAACTTTAAACTTTGATCTAATCTGAATGTTCACTCAGGTTGGTGAATCTTTCAGCCACTTTAAGGTACTCTAACAGGCTAGGTGGTGTTGAGGCTCTGAGAGATCTACAGAACACTGAACAGGTTTTTCTCAGTCTTTACTCTGCAGAGTAAAGAGGTTTCATAAACAAACATTTCCTTGAGTCTGGATGAGTCATACTAACGTTGGATGAAACTGAACGTGGGGTTTATTGTATCCGTGTCAGAAGGAATACCCCATGTTTCATCTATCCTTAGTATGACTCATCCAGACTTAAGGAAACCTCCAATATTGAAATCTGGCTTCAGGGGTGTTTTTATTCTTACCTGAGTGGTCATGATTTGTGATCAGCCTCTGTCACGAGTGTTGATTAGAGTTTCGGTGGTGTTAATCTGTGTGAGAGGAGATCCGCAGTGAGATCCTAATGAACAGGTGTGCAGTGTGGAGTGAGTCATTAAAAGAGCTACAAGTGGAGAAGAGTCAGTTTCTGTTATTGCTCCTAAAGGAAAACGCCAGCATGTCTGAAAATGATCTGGTCTGCTCCACCTGTAGAAAATGGTCAGCGAGTCTTTTTAACATTTCCCTGAACTTAGAGAGAACAGAAAACCCACTGACTCCACTGGGAAGTGTTTATTCTGAACACATACTGAACAGAAATATGAATACAACACGTTTTAGTTTGGCTCCCATTTAGCAGGAGTTTAACTAAAAGATCAGGATTTTCTCTAGAAATGTGTTTCACTGCTAAAGGCAAATGATGGTCACAGCAGATACTAACGGGGGAAGTGTTTCACGGCCGATCTTGTTTTTTTGTAGAGTTGCAGTAAAATATTTAGTAAAAAGTGTTGTTTATGTTTTTGTCCAGTGTCGTTTTCCAGAGGGAGGAGTGTAATTAATCCGTGTGGGAGGAGTTTCTAAGGGATGGGTAGTTCAGGTCCAGAGAGTGATTTGATTTTGTTCAAACTTCCTGAACATTTCTGCTGCTGGTTCACTAGAGAATCTCGGTAGTGGTAGTTTTTAATTATGCTCTTTTCTATCTGTCCTGTTTCTCCTGGTCAGTACTGATGGTGTGTGTGTGTGTGTGTGTGTGTGTGTGTGTGTGTGTGTGTGTGTCTGTAGGTCAGTCATGCAGTCCTGCAGTTCTGCTCACTGTATCCTGATCTTACTGACCATCACACTCACTGCTGGTAAGTACTGCACTCTCACTTTTAAACATTTTACGATTATCTTTGTTTTGAAGCCATTTTTATTTATCCTACGTTTACCTTTCTAAGCAGTGGCATCATTCTAAATCTATATAATTATATTATAACAGACATTTGAAACATGTACTGAAAGTCAGAAACGGCTGGAGTGTGGTCTGAGTTCAGTATAAGATGACTGAAAGCTCATAAAGAACTGATGAGGATTTTCAGTGCACCTTGAAACAAAAACAACGTGTTTTAATTTCTCTTTCAGTGTCTGAATCAGCTGTTACTCCAGTGAAGGTGAATCTTCATGACTCTGCTACTCTGCCCTGCTCTGAGAGATGCTCTGGTTTGGTCAGATGGACTGTGTTCCATAAACCCACTGATGCTCTGGCTGAGTGTGATCAGACTTCATGTAGATCAGTGAAGGAGGGATATCAGATGATCCATGATCAGTACCTGAAGGGGAATTTCTCTCTCACCATCACTGACGCTGATTTCACTAAGAAACACTGGTACACGTGTGACTGTGATGGTAAAGATCTCTGTGATGTGAATCTTCAGATTGAGGGTAAGTGTCCATCTGTTTTCTTTCCTGACCAGAATTATTGCTCGTTTACATATTAAACTTTGTATCAGATTTGCAGTCCATTAATGAAGTTCCTGTTTGTTTTTCTTCTCAGCCTTAAAAACTACCGTTCAGAAAAAAACAGGTGAATCTCTGATGCTGAAGTTGGACATACCAGAGGAAGTGGAGGTGATTTATAACAGCACAGGTGCAGCTGGGTCATCCAGTGGTCAGATCTGTACAGTGAATGGACGCTCAACAGACTGTAAACCTGAATACGCAAACAGAGCATTTCTAACGTCTGCTCTTGAGCTGAGAGCAGTGACTCCATCTGATAGTGGAGTTTACACTGTAATGGACAAAAGGAATGAAGATGCTGTTCATGTCTTCACAGTGACCGTCCAAGGTATGAGTTTAATGATATTTTTACTGTCTAAGCAGTAGAGATGAGCAGTGTCCTTTTTTATCCCATCAGTCCATGCTCAGATATACGTGGTGTATGTTGTTACCAATGACTTCTGCGATGCGTTTCTCCTCCCTTTACTGTTTTGCTGCAGTCAGCAACGAGCGAGTTGTCCCTTTTGATGGATGTGTAGCCTACACTGGTAAATGGCTTCATGATGTCATCCAAAAAACAAACGTTGCCACCTGTGCTACAGTGCTCAGGTCTTATTCTCATCATACTAAAGAAAATTAGACCACGAATTGAACCTGCAAACATTGATATTAAGCAACAAAGCTTGACATTTTACATCTCAGAGGTAACCAGAGAGATAACCAGTCTAACATTGTATAAGATACAAGCGGTTTTGCGCAAATACCTGTTACATCGCCTCAGACTCCTACCTGTCAACGGTTGAACAGTAGATGCTGTAACTTTGTCGTAGTAATCGTTACTGGCTTTGAACAATCAGGAGAAAATACTGCTGGAAAAAACGATTTGATGGGAATAAAATCTAAGTTTATAGGTTTCTCCATGGGTGACATTTACAGGGGACAAGGAGGGGCATTTGCCCCTGCTAAAATGTTCATTAACTCACTTAAATTGAGTAACATTTATTAAAACTATCTACTGTGTATAGAGACTGATCTCCATGACATGAGGGGGCAGCCTGCTGTGCAATGTACTATTTTAGATTATGCTGCGGTCGAGAGCCTAGCTAGTAGCACGGTCTCTACTCTGCTAGCAGTGGGAACAGATAGCGACTTTGAAAAACTCACGGTTGACTTGTGCGCTTAGAAAAACTAGTGGCAGAGACTGGATCAGACGCTCAGCTGTGGGTCACTACAAGGACTTGTATTTTGGTGTACTGGACAAAGCCATTCAAGAAATCTGTGATCGGTTTCAGGAACATGACGTGGAAAGCCTGAACAACATTCTCAGCTCTAGAACACACACTGAAGCAGTCCTGGTATCTGTTTGTTGTCGCTGTGGATTTTGCAGAGAGGAGACGAGTGCAGAGCTCTCTCTCTTCAGCGCTATGCCATCAGAAAAAATCGGCTTTGATCAACGCTTAGCACTTTTTAAAGTGTGGGTGGTAACGCCTTCTACGATGTATTCCTGGTACACGTCTTTAGTAAAGCAAATAGTTCTATAAAGAACCATGAACATCCAAAGAACCCTCTGCATCTGAAAGGTTCAGATTAATGGAGAATGTGTTGTAGATGGTTCTATGTAGGACCTTTTTGAAAAGGGTTCTATACAGCACCCAAAAGGGTTCTTCTATTGTTACGATGCCAAGCTTGTAACAGTAGAAGAACTCTTTTGGGCGCTGTATAAACCCTTATTAAAAAGGTTCCATATAGAACTGTCTACAGCACATTCTGAAGAACGCTTTCATGATGCTAAGAACTCTTGAATCATACAAAGAGTTCTTTTGAGGGTTCATGGTTCTTTATAGAACCACCTTCTTTACTAAAGAACCTTGGAAGAACCACCTTTAAGAGTGTAGCTAAGCCGGTGCTGCAAGTAGCATCACTTTACTGTCCTGATTGGTAGTGTTGAACATGATAGTTTAACATTTTCATACCTGTTTGTTACACTTGGACTTGATTTGTTTGACAGTTTATTAGGTATATACTACTTCATACCATTTCAGCTTTGAAAACAGTGAATGTCCAAATACAGCAGGACACTATTACTGCTATACTGCCCTGTACAGCTGATGACTAAGTGATTAGTGATTAGGTCATTAGTAAAGTAGCACTGAATTAAGGAGTACAGCACAACAAGCTTTTTGACAGTTATTTAAATTTCATACCAGAAAAGTGTTGATCAAACTACTGCCATGAGTTTAATGCTGCTGTTTACCTTTTTAAGTGATTATTTTTTTGTATCTGTAGTATATCAGATCCTCTGTGTAGCTCAGCCTCTCCTGTGCTTCATATTCATTACATCATTGGGAAAGATCAGTTATTACAACAATATCACACTGCAAGACTCAATTCTGTCTTAATCTCCATCATTGAAATAAGCGCTGTATGATTAATATAACGTACGTTTCTACAGTGGAGATGCTAAACTACCCAGAGGATGATTAATCAGACCCTAAATCAGTGGTTTCTGCTGGAACAGCTGAACTGTGTTTATCTCCAGTTTGAGGTCTTGCATTGTGATGTTGTTGTGGTGTTTTATCAGGTGATGGTTCTGAAGCACAGAGACAGACCCACAGTCGCTCTCGCCGCAGTGCTCCATCAGATACACTTTACACTGTAGTCTATAGAGATCCTACTGTAGTGATCACACAGTGATTTTATAATGTGTTACATCAGAGCTGGATCATTACAGTAGATCAGGAGTTTAACTCCATGGCTGGTGTCCAGCTCAGTTTTTGGTGGTTTAGCTGCTTCTGGTTCTCAGCTAATTTTTACCATGTATAGTGAGTTTTTACAGGTAAATCGCCGAACTGCTGGACTGTAGCCCCCTAGGACTGATATCAAACCCTCCTGCAACAGAATATAAACATGCTGCATGATGTACATTAAATGTATGTTTAAAAGTCCTGAAGCTGAAGTTTGTGTATGTGTAGAATTTATTTCCAACACTTTCTTTACATTACTGGTAGCCCCTCCACAAGTCAATCTGGACGTAAAACAAGTTAAGTGTGTGTGTTTATCAGTCCTGCTGGAACAGTATCTCAGGTGGCTCCTCATGAAGCTGTTAGAGAAACACCAATAGTGTGTAAAGCTGAATCAGGGCAAAGAGGGCAGGGCTATTCTGAAGAATCTAAAATGGAACGTTTGTAATAAGATCACATGTTTTGGTTTAACACTTTTTGATCACTGCATAACGTGTTCTTTCATAGCTTTGATGTCTTCACTATTCTAGAACTTGGCTAATAAATCCTGCATAAGTAGACGTATCCAAACTTTCGACTGGTACTGTATAAACAGAGTTAAACAGTGTGAATGAAGCTCACAGTAAATGTTTTGTGTCTGTTTTTGTTTTATAGATTGCGAGCCGTGCATTTGCAAAGAGGGAGCTGCTCTGCCTGGATGGGTGGTTCCTGTGCTGGTTGTGCTGGCTGTGGCATTGGCTGCTGTTCTCGCTGTGTGTGTGATATTAGTGGTGAAGAACAAACAGCTGCAGAGTAAAAATCAGCAGCATCCAGAAGCAGCTCATGGAAATGGAAATGCTAACCATGTTCCAATGACTGTCCTGGGTAATAACGGTGCAGAAGAACAGCAGAGACTGGCAGAGCCCAGTAATCACCAGGCAGACTAAGAGATTATTCTGAATCTTTGCTTTTCTTTCTCCTGCTCTCTCTCTCTTGCTTTTCCATTCCTAGGGCATGTATGTGAGAGTGGATGTTTATGTGTGTCAGTGTGGAGAGTCCAGCACTGTCTGCTGTTCATCAGCAGAGCTTTGGAAGTTTTCACTCTCAACCCCTTAACAGGCCAAAGTTTTACTGCACACTTCTAGAACTTCTCAGAGCAGCTCAGCTAGTTCTGCATTGAAGTCCCAGTTCCAGTGCAGTTACTGAGTAATAATCCTTAGTATGTTATAACCCTGGGATTTTAAGGGGCTAAACTGAAGGTTCTCTAAATCTTAAGTGCTCTTTGACTGCCAAGAACTTAATAGAGAAATGCCTGTGTTTCTTAGTGAGAGTCAGATCTGAGTAATCGGTTACTCACCTTTACACTGGACTGTTACTGTGGACAGACTGTTCTCTAGTGAATTCGACAATGTGAAGTTTTTTCAGAAAGGGATCATCAGTATCTAGTTCTCATCAGTATCTAGTTCTCATCAGTATCTAGTTCTCATCAGTGTCTAGTTCAGTAAGTTTGGGGATGTTACACTGGCCAAGTATTTAATTCAGATAAAAACTGAACTGGGCCTCATTTCTACAGTGCAGCTAAGTGGGAAGCTTGTTTAATCAGGTCTGTAAAATTTTGTTCCCATGGTAGAGAGTGATGGGTGACCTTCTGTGGAGCTCCACCTTCTAGGACTCTTATTGTACAAGTGCAGCTCATGTGAATCCCAGGTTCAGTGTTGGTACTACATGAGGTCCAAGTGAGCAGAAGTGGTGGTGATGCGGACCGAAGCCATTTGTGACCCAGAGTCCAAGAGAGCATCCCTGGATGTTGGGAGCTTGTTGAGCTCCAGTGCTGGTGTGTTGGCATCACTTTGAAAAGATGTGGTGGAGCTTGGTAGTATCATGTGACGGGGGGCCTAGCTAATGGGGGAATTGAGTATAACTAAAATAGAGAGAAAAGAAAATGAGGAATCAGGGAGTGAAGGAACAAAAGTGGAGTGAAGGGAGTTGGAGTGCAGCCTGATGACCAGTTGATGGCTAAAGGACAGTTATGGACTGCAGATTGGATTCCTGATTGGATGTTTAATTGTTTTTAACTGCAGTAAACAAGCTTTAGACATTTCTTCTCTCTTGCTCTGCCCCTTTTACTTACACAGATCAAAGAATAAGCTCACTGTAGCTTTACTGCACCTTGGATTAGAAGAAGAATAATGTATTACATGAATGTGTTTTTCAGTGGGCATGTTTACATACACAGCTACCTGATGTAAGATCAAAAACACCCATAAGGCATAATCCCTTTAATCAGCATTTCATTTCCCCACACAAATGTCTGTCCAGCAGTTGCTCTTAAAGACATCTGGAACACCAGTCCTTCCCTTCAGAGTAAGCCTGGGTCAGTATACACAGTGAAGGTCTCCACACTGGTTACGGTGCCATTTATGAGGGGCACAACAAATTCATGGTTGGCCTTAATCTGAATTTCAGTCCTGCAGACGAGGGGGGAGTAAAGATACATGCATAAACGAGAATAAATGATAACTGCAGTATTTGGGAAGCATCATTCAAACTGCAATAAGAGAGACACCAGCTTGATAGTAGTATAAAACATAAATGAAACCAGCATAATTTTGATATGCTAATGTCCACCATTCATGTCTTTGGTGTTACAGTGAGCTGGTTGATACTGCCATGTTCAGATTTGGACTCAGCTCATTGATACACAATGCTGGTACTGATATTTAAAATGAAAATGAAATGCAGAAAAGCCTGACTATAATCACGTGCTGAATGATATGAACATGCTGGAGTGGGTCGCGTATTGAGCTGGTAGTTCAGCATTTAAACAATGTAACTGCATTAGATGTCATGATAGGATGACCATTAACCCATTTTAAACTGCGAAGTCGTGATTTGATGCATTATTACGCCTCTAGCATCCGAAATACTTCCAATCCTTAATTGCACGTAACTGTCTTCTGCGCATTAATGATGAGATCATCACTCTCACTAAAGCCGTCCTCTATAAACTCTCATTACTTGGAGCAGCATGATGAGATTAGATTCATAGGCCCAGTGCTGAAAACCACAGCTGGGTGTCTGAGAGGTGTCTGAGAGGTGTCTGAGAGGTGTCTGAGAGGTGTCTGAGAGGTGTCTGAGAGGTGTTTGAGAGGTGTCTGAGAGGTGTTTGAGAGGTGTTTGTTGGTGGCTCATTTATTTTAAGATTGGAATAATGAACGGAAAGGTGAGCAGTGGTTTTGTATTGGTCAGTGATATAAGTGGGCGGTCTAGAGTCACTGGAGCTAATTGCACTGCCGCTACTGCTCGTCACTGCAGATTAATCTGCTGCTATTGCTTTCTGATTGTGTGCTCTGCTTTGCTGTACTTTTAAATTCTTATCTTTCCTGCCATGAAGATAAGATTATAATTCAGCTGGCAGATCTGATGCAGGGATTTTTTTAAAAATATTTGCTTTTATGCCTGTAAATGCCTTTTGTTTTTGCAGGGTGTTCTCAGTATTATGAAGGATGTTTTTATTACTTTTTGCCGAAGCTGTTTGTCTATAAATGCGAATGCTTTCAGTGAGGTAGCTTGAGACCTCTGTGTGAATATTTTGTTATGTGTATAAATGTTTCTGTGCCTGCTTTAATTTCATTTGTGTAATTCTGTGCTGTGTTTTATGAGGCTGAAGTAAGACAACAGAACACCTGTAAGACTGAACCGAGTGCCTCAGGCCTGTTTCACACACTCTCATTCACTCCCTCTGTGTGCCCTGAGTGGCTGCAGGTCAGACACGCCTGCATTTACATTTACGGCATGTAGCAGACGCTCTTATCCAGAGTAACCTACACTTTGATCATTTTACACAGGTAGGTGAAGGGAGTGCTAGTGTAAACTACAGCCATACACACATCCATCCATGCCAGCTGGATAACGGTCATATCAGTTACTTCACATAAGAAGAAGTAGCTCTATCAGAAGATGTGTATGTAGCATAAACTGGTGTGTAATTGAGGGATAACAGAATGTGTTATTTATTTTATTTGTTTCTTTTTTCATTGGTTCTGTAGTTCTTTTCTTTTTAACGTGGGAATTGAAAGCAAAAAAGTCATTCAGAGCATGTAGAGGTGAATGTGTGTGAAACAGGTCCTCAACACCATCAAACTGTCAGTGCACTGAATCTAAATGTACACATGGCACATTTTTGTAGTTTTTTATTACCGTCGAATTAAACTTTTCTTTTTAATTAAATGTGTGAGTTTTCATTTCAGTAAACCTCAGTCTGAGTTTGTGATGACTGATGGTATGAAGTTAAAATGAGGCAGAGTGAGTGACGGAGCTCCGGACGTGTTTACAGGAGTTTCCAGTAAACCCAACATCTGCAGTAAAATCCCCCAGAATGCCTGTTCTGTACAGGAAGGAGCTCCGCTGCACACCGGAAAGCAGAAGTTGGAGTCCTTATGACCTTTGACATTTCAGACCATTTACATGGTGCTTCTTCAGAGCCTCTGGAGTTATTCATGTTGAGTTTAGGGTTTGCTGCTGGCTCTGCACTGATAATACTTGTACAGTGCATTTCTTAAAAGTAGCACAGCTAATAATGCTCAGAGAGAGAGTCTGGAAAAGTAAGGAAAAAAGAAGTGATAAAAGGTTTAGAGGGGAAATAGAAATAATAGTAATGCTTTAAACAAGTGATGATAATGGAAACAAAAAGTGATAGTAATAGTAATAATAAAGAAATAAGAAAACTTTAAAAATAATAGTAAAATGTTGGTGTTTTCAGCCACTGCTTGATGTGTCGACTGTCTAATCTCAGCTGGGTCATTTTTTAGTGCTTAAATCAGCTTCAGCTCATTATTTCTTATCTTTAGGTCCCACATACAGAAAATAAGCTACACAAACAGCCTGTTTTAAATTAACGTTTCTGTGACGTCACAAAGAGCAGTACATTTACACCTAAAGCCAGTTTAGCTCCGCCCACTCATGCAGATGCTATAAGGAGTGTTTCAGCCCTGACTGCTTTTTGAACAAGGCACATCCAATCAGGACAGAGCTCATTTACATACGTCAGTCTTAAAGGCACAGTAACACAAACAGGCTGTTTAACTGTCAGGGATAAAGGGGTAGAAACAGACTGTGGATCAGACAGTCCAGTCTCTGTAGAAGACGACAGGGCCTCAGGTCTGAAACCCAAAACAAAAGAGGCCTTATATGGAGCCACAGTGGTGTAAGATGGTCATGAAGATGGTCAGGATGAATTAACCTGTCTGAGTTGATGGAGCTCAGATGAGTGGGGTCTGTATGAGTGTGATGGTGAGAATCATCTGAATCTGAAATAAAGAGGTGATGTTTGTTTATTAGGATTTTCTGATGGAATTATTGTCATTTATACACCTTCTTTACTGTGATTGACCAGTGTTAGTTCGGTATTCTCATGTCCTCCATCCCAACAGACCTCCTGTAGATGTTCATTAGTCTGGGTCAAGGAGCCGAACTGACCTGATTAACTACAGTAAATATCAGAGGATTCATTAACGAGACGATGAAGATGATGCTGTTGATTTGGAAAGTGCTTTAAAAAACTGTGGTTCTGCAGTATAAAACACTTTTAATTAACAGTGAAATATTCAGACTTTATGTAACTGAAAAGATGATGTTCTGATCTGTCTAAACTCAGGACTCTAACAGAGACAGTACTAAACTAAATACACACAGAATGATCTTAAACTCAGGACTCTAACAGACAGTACTAAACTAAATACACACAGAATGATCTTAAACTCAGGACTCTAACAGAGACAGTACTAAACTAAATACACACAGAATGATCTTAAACTCAGGGCTCTAACAGAGACAGTACTAAACTAAATACACACAGAATGATCTTAAACTCAGGACTCTAACAGAGACAGTACTAAACTAAATACGTCCAGACTGATCTTAAACTCAGGACTCTAACAGAGACAGTACTAAACTAAATACACACAGAATGATCTTAAACTCAGGACTCTAACAGAGACAGTACTAAACTAAATACACACAGAATGATCTTAAACTCAGGACTCTAACAGAGACAGTACTAAACTAAATACATACAGAATCATCATTTATAGGTACTTTGGGGGGATTCTGTCCCAAACCATAACTCCTACATTCACACTTGTCAAAGTGATACTTAATATTTTTGTAATTTAACCTCTTCAACTCCTTGAGACCACCGGTGGTTCCAAAACGCACTTCATCATATTCTTCATAACGTTCATATTTCATAAGCTACATTCTAAAGGTGGGGGTCGTATGAGGCTCTAACTGTCTTCTCTCCAGTCAAATAGATGGTGATGTCATTTTAAACCCTTATAATAAAAGAAGCTGAACTCAGTTTGTTTTTTCTACTGAAAGTCGCCCCATTTTTCACAAATCTGGGCTGTAAACTATAAACAGATGGCGTCTCTTCAGTGATCTGCTCTGGAAACATTATTTTATAAAATAATACAAAGAGCGTCTAAGATTTTTGGCTTTCAGCAGTAAATTGTAAGCATATAGCAATATGTGTATCATAAAACACATGTTCTGTTAATCTGAGGGGAGCTTTTACAATAAATAAATAAATAAAAATGAACATTTGTTTCCTGCAGTTACTGAATAATTTGCCTTTATTGATTTGGTGATGTAAGTTCAGATGGACAAACCTAAATATACCCTGGAGAATAAGAGGTTGAGATATAATTATGATCTCATTAAGGTCTTTCTGATCTGTTTTGAAGTGGAAAGGAAAGCTTTAGATGTTTCTGTCTCTTGTTTTTGTGCCGCTACCAAACCACAAAGCGTTTTAGTCCAAAGATGGAGGTTTGTTTTGAGTAACGTGAGTCCCATGATGTCCCCAATGCACCTGTTTAATCCGAGATGTGGGGACTTTGAAGAGGACGCAGTTTTGGACTGGGCTTCTGTCTGGTTTGTGTCCAGCCAACAGACCCCTGAGGTGTTTTCCAGGTCAGTGCGGGTGGGTCTGAGGAGGAATGAAGGGCTGGTAAGATGTGAAGATGGACTGTTTAGTAATATTAATAATGATAATGAACTGTTATGATCAGAATATAATGTTTAGTTCAAAATCATCACCATCATTGTTTTGATAAAGGCACGAAAGTTTTTTTTACAGCAGATTTGATACAGAATTTCTCCTTCAGCTTCTGTTTGTCGCGTGTTTAATGTGTGTAAATCTGATATATGAATGTAATATATGAAATATGTATCTGTGCGCAGTCAGACTAGGAGCACATCATGATCTCTCTGTTCTGGATAATGCGGACACTCTGACTTTAAGCCAGGCGTAACTCATTCACACCAGAACACAACAGATGTTTCCCAGAGTTTTAAATTGCTGAAGTCAAACTGACCCCAAAGATAAAAGGTGGTAGAAGGAGAAGAAGAACGATATATTACATATATAGTATATATATAGTATATATATAGTATAAACTGTTTAATCAGAATAACCAGCAGATATTCATGATGCTGAGAAGTGCTGTTTGAACTGCTCGGCGTCGGTAGGGTTAATCTCGAGGTGGGTTAGTTCCCGTGGTGCTTTGCGAGCATATCCACCAGAGTCAGTTTCAGTTTCTCCTCATTTAGCGCGCGCGCTCGGGTGGTGAAGGGAGCGTGGATTAGAGGAGAACTGAATGAGGTGCAGCTCAGCTTTAGACGCTCCTCTCCAGCTGGAATCACAGCACAGCGGTAAGTACACGCACACACACACACACTCACACTCACACTCACACACACACACTCACACACACACACACACTCACACTCACACTCACACTCACACACACACACTCACACACACACACACACACACTCACACTCACACACACACACACACACTCACACACACACACACTCACACACACGCACACACACACATTCACACACACTCACACACACACACTCACACACACACACACACACACATACACACTCACACACACACTCAGTGTTGGTGAATAAATGGGAGAGCTGGTTTGAAAAGACCCGCCCTTCAACAGCCAATCAGCTCGCTGATAAAACCCGCGGGCGGGAAAATCCGTCCTGAGTTGAGGAAGTAGCGGAGCGCTGTT